AACAACACACACGAGCAACCAGATTTCTCAGCATTAGCAACCCATATGCGTACAGCGTCGCAAATGCTAGCACAATTGGAAGCGACGAGTGGGAAACGACCTAAACAGGAGGTGGCCGCTATTCGGTCGAAGATTATCGCCAGCATGCAGAGTCTCGAGGAGCAAAGTTTCGACCTTGATGATGGCCAAGGACCCACATTCGATATGATTATTGCGAAAGCAAGTGCCACATCACCGACGGCCGAGGGCGAACTCGAAGAAGAATTTGTCGCCGGCAACAATTCAACGGCCGGTGCCGCTCGGATGGAAAACGACGCCATGACTGGAGGCGTTCAGAAAAGGGGCGACCGCGACGATCCGAGTGCCGCTGTATTTGGTGAGGCGTGGCATGTCAAGAAAGAACGCATCCGCAAGAGTTCGCCGTACGGCTGGATGAAAAATTGGGACCTTGTCAGCGTTATTGTGAAGACAGGATCTGATTTACGGCAAGAAGCATTTGCATGCCAGCTAATTCAAGTGTGCCACAAGATCTGGGTCGACGCGGGCGTGCCTGTCTGGGTAAAGCTCATGCAAATTCTGGTCACTGGCGAGTCCTCCGGGCTGATTGAGACCATTACTAATGGTGTCTCTTTACACTCCTTGAAGCGGAGCTTGACGTTGTCGTCGGTGGATGCTGGTGTTAACCCTCGTAGACGCTTCGCAACTCTCAAGGATCATTGGGTAAAAACATTCGGCAAACCTGAGAGCAACTCGTACAGAAGCGCAGTGGATGCGTTCAAGCGTTCGCTTGCTGCATACAGTATGATACAGTACGTTTTGCAGTTGAAAGATCGCCACAACGGCAACGTGCTCATCGATAACGAAGGGCATATTATCCATATTGATTTTGGATTCATGCTTTCAAACTCGCCCGGATCCGTTGGATTCGAGGCCGCGCCTTTCAAACTCACTCAAGAGTATGTTGATGTATTAGGTGGCGTTAACTCCCCGGATTTTGAGGGTTTCAAGGCGTTATGCAAGCAAGCATTCCAAGGTGAGTACGGTGGGAGTCACCCCAACACGGGGAATCGAGCTAATCCGATGAAGCGCTTCGCCGGTCTGCGGACAATATAATTGATCTCGTCAGCATGATGGGAAGGGATTCGAAGATGCCGTGCTATTCGGCTGGTTCGGCACAGACAACAGCCGCCTTGAGACAACGCTTCCAACTACACTTAAGCGCCGACGAAGCCGAAAGTTTTGTTGAGACCGATCTGATTGCAAAATCCTTCGGTAGCTACTATACACGACTGTGAGTTGCTTCTACTGATCGCCAGCCCTTATATACGTACTAATACCTCCCAGTTATGATACCTTCCAATATCGCACTCAGGGCATATACTAGGCCATCAGAGTAACGACTTTGTGGGCCATAAGATGAAGAAAAGAGATATGGCCATACTTTGGGCATTTGGGCGGCGTTGCGGGTGATAGAGTTTAACGATTGGGATAATCTCCAACCCAGAAGCAAGCGATTTACTGGATCCTAATGAAATTGCACTGCCAGCATAACAATTGCGCGAGAAGCTGACTTGTCTATGAATATACCGTCTACATCATACATACCACGTATATATATACCTTGCTGAGTCTAGAGCTGCAGCTGCCAGAACCTCCCTCGGCTCCCTCGGCTCCCTCGGCTCCCTGGACTATACATGGACCGTCGATATCAGTGATGTTTTCTTGTCAGCCTGTACTGGTTCTATCTTGTTGGTCCTTTGGTCGTATCGACTGTTTAAGGTACCGCAATTCAAAGCTAACAACGGGGACATTTTGCTCAACTTGCTTATACAATCAGGTGCGGTATCCCTATTCTTTTAGTCCACATAGTGATGACCTCCTTTCTACGGAGGAAGTTCTTCAAGATGTTGCAGAGTGCAACACGGGTCATGTGAGCCTCCAGCAGTGGATAGATCATTCACCACGGGGCACTGTCCCCTTATCTGATATCTTTGCCAGAAGCGAGCAGATAGATCGGGCAAGCAGGCCAGTTAGTCAGTTACTCACTCACTGTAAGTATACGCTTCGAGGCTTGTCTAGGCACTATAGTGGACGACGTTGGCCTCACTTCGTATTGGGTGGGGGGCGAGACAGGCAGACAGGCAGGCAGGCAGGTACGGTTGACTGAGTTAGGGCGGCTTCCCTCGTTGGCTTCGTTGTAAAATGTTTCTTATCCTCTTATCCGTGTTGTGTTGATAGCCTGATACCAAATATCATCCGACCCCTATCTATCTGCCAACATAGATACGGTCACCTCTTTTCGTCTCTCTCGTCTCCTACCTACCTACCTACCTACCTACCTATCTACCTATCTACATTTACACATCGTCTCGACTTTCTTGGTCATCGCCAATTTCTCCCAAGACGTCTCAGACGCAGTCCTTCGTCACGATTCAAACTCCTCGCCTGCGTAGCAAGGGCCTTCAGCGGTATGTAAAAGCTCGACTTCTGGATTGCTTTGTTTCTATACGAATTGCCTGAATTGCCCGAATTGCCCGACCCCTTTTCTCTCCCATCCTCGTCAAGGCTTCTGGTACTATCGCGTCGTGTAGTACTCACTACACATCCTTTCAATTATCCACATCACCTCCTTTCGTATCCTGTACACTCGACAGCGTCTCCTCTCCTAAAGCTTCACCCGAGAGCTCCCTAACGGTCTCTTCTTCCTTCTCTTTTATCCGTTCATCGCGCGCTGACGACTCCTCATAGAAACCAAGTCAACGCGACGTATCAATTTACATCGCCTCCTTTCGTGTTCTGTACACTCGATAGCGTCTCCTTTCCTAAAGCGTCACCCGAAAGCTCCCTGACGGTCTCTTCTTCCTTCCCTTCTATCCGTTCATCGCGCGCTGACGACTCCTCATAGAAACCAAGTCAACGCGACGTATCAATTGACGTCGCCTCCGTTCGTGTCCTGTACACTCGACAGCGTCTCCTTTTCTAAAGCTTCACCCGAAAGCTCCCCAACGGTCTCTTCTTCCTTCCCTTTTCTCTGTTCATCGCGCGCTGACGACTCCTCATAGCAACCAAGTCAACGCGACGTATTAATCTACATCACCTCCTTTCGTATCCTGTACAGTTCATCATCTCACCTCTCTTCAAACCAAGCTCTCTCGACGGTCTCCTCTTTTCCCCCATCTTCTCCTGTCCATCACACGCGCTGACGACTCCAAATAGCAACGGACGGAACGCAACGTATCATCGTCGGCTTCGGCATATACGACACTTCCATTATGTGCTCACACAAAACCGTAAGTTTTGGAAAATAAAACATATTCCAGTACCCGCCCCAGCGCCTGATCTCTAATTCATCCTCGCAGTCGGAATCTCCTCAGCCCAAGGAGGCACCTCAGCCCAAGGAGGCACCTCAGCTCAAGGAGGCACCTCAGCCCAAGGAGGCACCTCAGCGCGAGGAGGCATCTCTGTCCGAGGCAGAATCTGAGCCCGAGAGAGAATCTGACGCCGAGGCAGACCTAACCGAGGCCACCTCAGTCTCCATCGAAGAGAAGGCGCCCTACAGGGTAGGCCGTCTCGTTTTCCGAGACTGGACCAGACTCGAGCTGAACACCGTCTGCGCCCTAATCTGCCAACAGGGTCCCTGGGGTTATATCCATCTATTCCAGAAAAGACCCTCCATCCTCAGCGGTCGCGTACACGCAAACGAATGGCCAAAGAGTTTGACTGAGGATCTGAACGATGCACTCTCAATCTCCAAAGGAAAACGGGGCAACATCACGCCCGGCGAAGTAATGCATCTCGTCAAATTCATCCGCACAAAACATAGAGACGTCATGGAGTTCCTGTTTCGCCAGCCGTTTCCGTTTCGTATCACGCGCCAGAAGAAACTGGTCTTTCAGCGTGTCGTCGACGGGATTCTTGTTGAGAAGTGGACTCAGCGACGTCAGCAGAAGTATACGAAAATTGTGCAGACGTTTCGAGCCGCGAAGCGATTCCCGGACAGCTATTCTGGTGTCAAACGACGATATTAGGATTCGGAAATAGTAGTCAGGTTTCGTTACGGAGAGGGGGGGCTTCAAAGAGCGTTGACATGTTGAGATCCCCTGGACTAATGTCTCGCTCGATGTCATTGTCAATGTGCTTCGAAGACTGATGACGGATTGGAGAGACATTTCGCCTGCTTAGATGGCCTGGCAACCGTGTCGCTTGTATCTAGCTGAGCCTGGACCGAATGAATTGAGGAAATCACTAGATCTCTAACACTTGAACACACACACACGTGAGATTGTTGAACGTGGAACTTTGATCGGTAATATCAGGGGAAGACCATGTATTCATCTCCAACTATTTGGCTGATACTGGGTTCCATTACCCCGATTTCTCGCGTCATTCTCTCGTCGGTATCATTCGCGACGACAGATAAACGTCCGATGATCTGGGATAGGCCTAGATAGCACTATCTAGTGATTCTGCTTCACTGAGGTAAGTGGACGAGGCTCGGATCTGATCTTGCAGTCGAACGCTCGAGTTTCTTATTGAATATCCTCGTCGACACGGCCCCCTATGGCTCCTCGGTAGGTGATTGATAAAGTTCCGCTGGTCAGCTCGGGCTTTTATCACGCAGGAAATTGCAAGTACATTATTCATATTTGGATCTGTAGTGCGTGCTACGGGATGGAATGCGATGATAGCTACCTTGTGTATGTCGCGCGAACAAGGATATAAAATGATTATCATGAAGAAGAGAGAATGAGAAAAGAAACCCTTTTCAAAAAGATATTATAATACACACACACACGCGCACAAAAAAATAAATAAAAGGAAATAAAAGGAGACTAGAAATATGAATAAAGGAAAAAAAAAAAAAAAAAAAAGAAGGGTTGTTGCTCCCAGAATCTGGGAAGCATCAGGAATTGAGCCCGATGCGGGGGTCGAACCTATTGATTGTTGGTCAGTAACGATTTGTGTGTGTGTGTGTGTGTGTGGCCGGGGGGGATCCTTTCGGACTGGAAGGAGGTAACTAACCCGCAACCTTGAGATTAAGAGTCTCACGCTCTACCGATTGAGCTAACCGGGCAGATGTTATTGGTATTTGATTCCGGCGCAATCATTCGCTACGTACCAATCGGGTGGGCAAACGAAAAAACAAACAAACAAGGAACGGTGGGAGATGATGATGATGATGATAAGAACGGTGGGGGATGGGGCTCCGATTGGATCGGATCGGATCGGATTGGATTGGAGGGGCAATTAATTACATAAGGAATTCTCTCGGATTTCGGAATGTTTAGTTTTCGATTCCCCATTTCTCACCACCTAACCTTAGATACCTCTACTGATTAGGTAATCTCTTATGCTTTCGAAATGGTCTTCGAAACACCGGTACCTACGGTAGTCAGGTGCTCAATTCCGTTTCTTCGATACGTACCTATTATTCCTGAATTGCATCGAGAATCGGGGTTTGCCTGTTGCCCTACTACATGTACCTATGTAACACTTCATCCTCTATCTAATCTAATCTAATCTTATCTACTATCCGTAGCGTCAATCTAGATAATCTAATCTGATCGAATTCAATCAATATCAAGGCGCGCTCTCCTTTATCACGCGGTTGAGCGCATCAAGTATGAATTTACCCTTAGGCAACGTGTCGGTCGAGACAGCCGTTCCCCAGTCAAAACTACAAAACAAGATGCATCCTCCCGGCGGGCACCGAGTTCCGACTAAAAGGAAGACAATGAGACGCGATAAGGAAAAGTTCAAGTGCTTCTGCCGCACACCAGATAATTATACCGCACAGACGAGGCCGGGTTATCGGGAGTAAGTTCATGGTCGAACCTTGGAATCCTGGTTAGCAGCGGCGATGAGCAAACAAGCTCGGCCTGCCCTCGCTTGCTCCTGAATTCAAAGCCGGTTCTGCGTGAATACCCAACCCTAGGTCAAGTTCCAAGTGACTTATTGCTTGACTGTGAAGTCGTATTATCATTATGGAGTCATCAGTCGAACGTCGAAAAAGGCATATCCGCTCAGTCGATAAGAGGTTAGGGCTCGTTCTTATGGAATCAACGAGTCCGATTATGACGAGGAGGCAAGGGTGTGGACTCTGGAGATCTTGTCTCCGAACCGCCAGACTATTCTTTTTTTTTTTTCCTTCTCTATTTTTTTTGCAGGAATGCGAGCCTCAATGATGTGAGGTAAAAAGTTCAAACTTCGTTATGCAGACCAAGCATATCCCATACCAGGCAACAATCCTGCCCTCACCGAGTCAATCCCACCCCTCCTGACATTTCCCGGCTTGGGTAAATGCTGGTTGTCATCATGGTGAGCACGGAGTCCTGCCGAGCGGACCCCAGCCCCCAATAGCCAGACGTAGGCCCGTACCTCTCGGGGCGATGGTAGTCGCCCGGGGTTTGCGTGAGGGGTGTTGTTTACACTCAATATGTGATCGCCTGTCTGACAGCCTTACCACGTATGATATTCGTGCGTAGGGTCTATCTAGGGCTTCGCATCTGGCTCGCTACGAGCCGGTAAAAGCAACTAAACAGATCAAATACTCCGTAAGTCAATGGGAAGATCTGGATGCTCACATTGAATAACGCTCTGATTATTGAGTAGGTAAATTCATTGCATCACAATATGAACCTGTGCTTACGAGGATCATCGCGATATCGCAAGCATGTTCTACTGCTGCAGACGAGGACGTCAACCCGGGGACAATCTTGCCTTGAAGACACTCTACGCTACGATTGGATTCTCTGCCTATAGAGCATAAAAATCCAGATGGGATCCGATGGGGTTGAACTTTGACGCGGGGCTTCAAATCGACAAGCGTGAGGACGATCGAATCTCCCCAGTGAGGCAGATTCGTGGAGAATAAGAGCTAGGAAGCTTTGAGGGGAGGGCCATTAAAGAGATCATATCACGCTTGAGACTCAATAGGATAGCTGTAGTTATTTCAGAACCTCTACCTTGAAGTAATTCACTCCCATCGCTTTCATCAAGGCTCACGGAGCTCAAAATTCAGATGATCTTCGATTACGTCTGCGTCACATTCGCCTTTCACGCGTATAATTACGGAGTACGACTCCTTATTATCTAGCCAAGTTATATAATAAGGCAGACTTGTTACCACCTTTGCATTCGGTAAAAATACGAAGAGGATGTCTGACAGAAAGGAAAAAAGTCCTAACGCGAGTCGAAGACCATATAGACAATCAGACACCGCAAAAATAATCGACACAACCAGAAGGGAGAACCCATTTCTTTTTTTTTTTTTTTCCCCTTTCGTTTTCTCCCTTTCATTCTCTCCTTGAAGAAGGAAAAAGGTTATTGCACGAGAAATCCTCGATATTAAATAAAAAAGAAAAAGAAAGAAAAGGGACAAACCAAACTTGAGAGATAGGAAAATAGAGGGGAAAAAAAAAGAGAAAAGAAATTCAACAATAAGCCTTGGAGACGCCGTCATCATCATCAAGCCAAAGGGGAGAAATGCCTCTCGTGGGCACCGGTGACGATGGAGAATTCTTCGGAGCGCGGCGGACAGTCGCGTTAAGCCTAGACTCGCTCTCCTTATTGATCTCCTTCCTCCTCCTCTTCACTCACGTCCACCTTCTCCTTTCCCTTCCCCTTCACGTCCCGATCACTAACGGTGATGGCAAAGAACGGAGTTACGTTCTCGTGGATCGCTCTATGGAAGAGATACGAAAGCTGATCAGGATCCAACGAGTTGATATCGTATGATCGGTCTCCACACTGGGTATGCTGGACGACGGCCTGGCGAGCAGAATACCTCACTGTTGTGGGGTCAAAAGCGCCTTCATGATTGTACACCAACACATTCTTGTGCGTATCTGCTATCGCCGTCTGTAGCAGCGACTCGCGCGTAGATTGGCAGCTTACTGAGATACGGTTGTGTCCGTGGTTCACCCAGTTCACTGCGATTTTCACGACCATCGTGGCGAGCGGTATTACGCCGTCCGGGCGTGGTCGTCTTATTATCAGCGGGGCCGGGTTTGAAGTCGGACCCTGAGACGGGCCGGGTACGCTCCTGGGTGGGCATAGGCCGCCTGAGCGGAGAGGGCCGCTTTGTTCTTGTTCTTGTTCTTGTTGGTGACGTGCATATGCTGCGGGTGCTGAGCCCGGTGGATAGCGGGGCGGAGGTGGATGATCGGAATGCGGGTTCGCTACTCCTCCGAAGTCCAGTGGGTCGTTGAGCAGAGGGTGCGGGACACGGCACCCTGCCAATGGTGGACAGGAGGGCGTGGAGTGAGGATGGTACAGCCGTTGTGGATCCGTCAGTCCTTGCCGCTGACTGTCGATGAGGCCTGGGGTCCCCGTGAAGTGAAGCTTGTCGTTATCTCCAAAGGCCGGAGTGGTGTTAGACGGCCCTCCTTGGCGTGCTGCCTTGAAATATGGGATGGGGATTTGTGTAGGGTAACCTGTTTGGGCGACTGAGATTTTCTGTTGTTGTTGTTGTTGTTGTTGTTGTTGTTGTTGTTGTCGTTGTCGTTGTTCAACCGCCGCCGTCTTTATGTGACTCACGGAGGGCTGTAGCGTCTTATCGCTAAAATCGCTGCCGTTGTCACTGCGACTGCCGACATTGACTGCACAAGAGTGATCGGAGGCGATGGTAAACCTGTCGCTATCCTCCTCCATGTCGGCCGCATCGGACAGGGCCGAGAACCCTTTTTCCCTGATGTGTTTGTGGATGGCTTCACATGATGCCATGTGCAGAGATTTGACCGCTTCATCGGAGCTCAGGCACGCATCAGACTGGAGGAAGACCCTGTCACCCCAGTAATCGCCCCGGGTAACGTACGCCCTGAACAATCCGGAGACAGGATCCTTGCTGGTGATGACACGGATAGTGTCCTTGTTAGTTATGAGAAAGTCGCAGTTGTCTGAAGGGCCCGGTTAGAACGAACGAACGTAAATCTTCCCAAGAGAGGAACGAAAGGAGTGAGACTAACCCATGATTTCTAATCGAACATCATAAGCCGGAGGTGCTAGGTATGTCCGTTGATGAGACATGATGTGATCGGGGTTGTTGGAACTTGGGATATATTGGTGATATACGATCATTGAGGGTGAAGTAAGGGACTTGTGTGGGTAGTGTGGAAAGGGGATATTTTGGGAGAAAGGTGCTTTGCTTTGCCTTTATATAGTAAATCAGAGCCTTCGGAAACTGGTTGATAACACATTGAGTTCGATGTGTGAAGCAAGCTTGCCCGTTGAAAGTATAACCACTCGTCTGGCAAGGCTGAGCCGGTTCATGAGAAATAGGGTTCACAATGCCGAGTTTCTCCTAAAATCATAACCGGTTTCAAGGCTCTCAAAGAATGAAAGTCGAGGGAGCAAGGAATTCCACCCGAGCAATCGCCCGGATCCTGGCTTAGTTACATCCCAGCCGCATTGACATATGCATTGAACTATCTTCGATAACTTGTTTGGCGATAACAACGTAACCAATATTTTCCCCTGGGATCATCGTCATGTGTCAAGTAAGGCTGAGCTATCAGGATAAATGTGATCTTTAAAGCCATAACAGCCACTCTCGCCTGTCGGCATGGATTATCCGTTTTGGGACGATGGTCGGTCAGAAAAGAAACGTTTTGGTTCCGCGATGACGCGAGATTCGAAGAGGGCATCTTGATGTGAGTTGCGGCGTAATGCGCTCAGTTCGGTAAGATCTCTATTGAGCAGTCAAGTAGTATACCTGGGTATATAGATCTGACATAGGCTGCTAAAGTAAATATCAAGCCTTAGCGAAGTTATCTTGGAGGATGACGTCGAGTAAAAAGTGAGGCGGACGCCAAGGGCTCGGAACGACGGGGTTAATTGATGCCCCTGGCTTCGGTAATCTACACTCTGACTAACCTAGGCATCTGCGTCCTGCGAGATCGACAGTGAGATGTTTAGCAAAAACCAACTATTTTAAGAATGGGCGACATCTTTCGACGTTACATAGGTATGTCCGTAGTTTGATAGATATGAGAGCATCATGTACTTACCTCTTCACGCGTTTTCAACACTTGGTAGATGTGCAATTGAGCAAGAGACAGCAAGAACAAGAGAAAA